AGTTTTGGCAATGATTGGTTTTTAGTTCTCAACAGGAAAGGGGAGTATTTAGTTTTAAAGAGGGGTTATAAGGAGGTTATTGCATATGGATAATGTGGGGTTTGAGGTAGCAAAATTTCCATGGCAGAAGTTATAAGCAGGTACAGGTTCCTGGCAAAGTAAAACTTCTTATTTGGCGTGTGATGTAACATCCCTTCCCGGGGTCCACCCATTAACCGAATTGAACCGAGCCGAGGCGCTAACAATCTGGTTGAAACTTATGTCCTGTCATGCTGATATCAATAACTGTATGGCTAAATATGAAAGTAACAAACACTCCATTAAACTCGCAAATTTTCAACATCTCCAAAATGATATCATACTGTATGCTAAATATGAATACAAAACACTCCCAATTAAACTCCAAATTTTCAACATCTCCAAATAATCATCACAACACAATAACACTTTATATATTTTCATAACTGTATAAATCCTCAATAGCATGTAATATCTAGCAATTAATTGCATTCATTATATTTATCAAGTCTTCTTGAACTAATCATACCAACTATTGTAAAATATTTCATATTCAATCATTTTATAAGTATTATTACATCTCATTATACCCCACTCTGGACTCTAATGGCTCGAACTGGGTTTTGGGTCAGCCCGACTCAACTCTAAGCAACGACTCGATTCAGTAGGATATTACAACTTACTATTTCAAACACAGAAAAATGGGGCGTTACATGTGATGCTTGATGCTCTCCCTTGTAAGACAAATCTAAAACAGAGACATGTGGAGATTGATGAGATTTGTCTGGTATGTGGTTTTGACAATGAAACTACAGTTCATATTTTGTATGATTGTCCTTTTGCAAGTCGTGTTGGTTGTTGTCAATTATAGGATGGAAGATAATCAGTTCTTTACATGCTTGGCTTACTCAGATTCTGACTGATATGCACTCCAGTAATCATGAAGTTTTTATGTTGATTTGGAGCTTATGGTCTCACAGAAATGAGGTCATATGGCAAAGACATTTTCAAAACCCCAATTATGTGTTAAGTCATGCACATGCAACGCTTTATGAATGGAAGGCAACAAGGAATAATGGCTTTATGATTTCCAAATGGGTTATTCAGCATCAACAGGACAAGAGGCGTTGGAAGGCCCCCATGCCAGGTTTGTATAAATGTAATATTGACATGGCAGTCTTACCCAATAGAGACTATGGCATGGGTATGATTATAAGAGATTGTCATGGTCAATCTTGTGCAGGGAAATTTTTTTTCTCATCCTGGTTTGCATGATCCACAGATTGGAGAAGCTTTGTGCTTTCGGGAAGCACTGAGTTGGTTGAAGTCACAGTTTTTCTTTCCTATTTGTATGGAGACAGATTGTGAAGTGGTAGTAAAAGCCTTGAGAACTCCATATGAATTTTCTTCTTATTTTGCTTTGATCATTAATGATTGTAAGGCTCGATTGAAGGAGCAGCAGTTAGTTTCTTATGATTTTGTTAGAAAGCCAGTGAATCAAGTTGCTCATACGATTGCTAGGGCGGCTAGTTTTGTGTCTTGTTTAGATTGGGGATATGCCCTCCTTCATTTTTGTATGATGCTTTATTATTTGATATTAATAATATGAGCTGAGCTAATCATTTTATTCAAAAAATATATATATTTTCGGGAAAAAAAAAATGTTGTTCTTGGTTGTCCATTGGGCTTTGGCATATGGCTTCAGTTGGTCCACTTCTATGTGACATATAAATATTGCGTTTTAGGACATAATTCTCTTGATTCGAAAATGCAAATCTTATTTTACTGAACCATAAAAATGTTATTAAACATAAAAACACTCTAATTTATTGTTTTTTTTTATTGAGAAATTGTTTTAAAGTTGTGTTATTTATGAATTTTAAGATGTTTGAATATGGAAAGATAACTTACTAATTAGAAGGATAGCTTATGAATATGAACATAAACACTATGACAACAACTAAGCTTTAATCCGATATATATAAACAACTAAGCTTTAATCCGATAATATATATATATATATATAATATATATATATGGTATATTATATATGTATATTCCAATCCATAATAGCAAGCATAGGGAATAATTAAAAATATATATAAAAAATAATATATAATAGATATAACTAGATAAGAGAAAGATAAACAAGTATGGGCAGACGATAGCAAAGGAGTCTTAATCCTAGATTAATTAAGAATGTCATATATAGGGCTAACTAAAATGATCGACCAAACCGAACAAAAAATCAAACTGACATTCTTCGGTTCAGTTGGCCTACTCATTGGTTCTTGGTTACTTCAATTCAAATTCAAAGTTTCAAGGTAGTTCAACTAGATTTTATAAAATCCAATCCATTAGATTTAAAACCAAACTGAACTCATCAAAATTAAAAAAACAAATTGAATTAATTGAATCAAGCCGATTCGGTTTGATTTAATTAGATCCTCAAAAGAACTTGGTTTGATTCAATTTTGATCCTAAAAGTTCAATTTGCCCTTTTAAATCTTGGTGTGATTCAATTTTAAGTTTAATTAACCATTCTCCCTTAATCATGTAAATCTTTTATCTCCATTATGTTCTAGTCATGGCTAGTTGTCATTAGTTGCAAGAGACAACAGTTCTTTCGCTACTACTTCCCTCCATATGGTTTGAGGTCTACCTCTTTTCCTAAATTTTTGCACCATTTACCATCAAAGTATCGCACTTATGAACTAGAGCACATGGGACTCCACGAACCACAGGCCAAACTATTGCAGACGTCCTATATTAGTGAGATATTAACTAATTGTTCAGCATAAATTCACTATAAATCATTGACTCGTCTCATCAATTAAGTCAATATCATATGCATAACATGCACCAAGGAACCGCTTTTGTATATTATGGGTTAGTCCATCCATTATTAGAGTAAATAAATATAGACTTATATGAAAATTTCTTTGTATTCCCTTCAACTGTTCTCACATTTGTGACTGCATTTTCATGCATATCCCTAATATGTCATTAATGCAATTGACATGAATCTCTTTTTTCTCCAAAATACTATATCAAAGCAATTTTCCAAGTCCACGAACACCATATATAATAAATCTTTCTTGTTTTCTCTAGCTATAAATTTCCTTTAATAAGAAAATAGTTTCCATTGTAGATCTCCCAAGCATAAAACCAACAACTTGTAATTTGATACCTTGATAAAATCCGAATCAATATTCAATCACTCTTTTACAAAGTTTCATTGTGTGACTCAGTAAGTTTAATATTCAATCACCTTTTTTAGCTTGGTTGTAGTTATATTTTTGTTGCATCTCTTTTTCTTAGCTTAAGAGAACGAGAGGTTTTCTGACCCGTCTGTATTGTGTTTGTCAGATTTTTTATTTATTATATTTAGGCTAGTTATGGATGTATTTGGAAAGTCTATTGGCTTTAATAGATTCTTGAAAATGCTAAATTTTTTATTTTTTTATCTTTAATTCTCAGTTCATACATCTTTAGATATAAATATCAACAAAAATATTTTTGAAAAACTTTTATAAGGATAAAAGAGGAACCAAATGTAAATATAAGTTATTAATGTATATTAAAAAAGTACATCAATATCTAACTTTTTCGTAAAAAAAGAAAATAAGTGTTATTTCCTAAAAAATTCACGTTAAAACTTGAGTTTTGAAAGCAAGCATTCTTCTTCTTCTTCTTCTTCTTCTTGTTCTTTTAACTCCTTTTAGTTTTCAACTTTTCATTGTTGTTGATTCTCAAAAGAAAAAAATTTCATCGTTGTTCCAAATACACCAGAAACATACATTTGCATGCGTATTCTAAAATTTATAAATTGATATACATGTAGTTTGGTCCACTGGAGAAGCCATCTATGATCTGTAATGAAGGTAATCAAACTAATAAAATATAATTATCTTAAAAAAATTATTTGTTATTTACTAGAACAATAAATCGAGAGGAAAGTGGAGTCTGTAAACCTGTAACAATAATAAATCTCAATCAAAAAAATATACTATAAGAGCAACTATATAGACTATATTAGTATGTCTATCACTTGCTCCCTTGTTTTTCCTGCTTAAAAGTAAAAACATATTATTTATGCAAAATAAGTAAAATAACCATATAGCTATTCTATTTATAATATATTTAATATTATAATGGCAAGTTTAATATTTTAGCAAAGTCAATGAACTACAACTAATAGGTAATTGGTCAGCAGCTAAAGTAAACTGCATTTTAAAATTTTTTTTAAGTGAGAGTTACGATTTAAAGTCAACACTGTTAAAAGAATTTTTAACCGAGTATCTAATTGGGTTTCAAAACAAAGAGTTGGCTAGAAGCCTCGCAAAAAGTTAAAAGAAATAGAAATAGCGAGAAGAGCATCCTTATCAGCTTAATTATTTCTCACAAACCGAGGCAAAACGTTAGATGTGTTGTTAGCTATTATTCCAAATCAATAATAACAACAATAGTGTAGCTTGTAGCTTTCTTCATGTTAACAACACAGGTAGCCTGCACGTTTTAACCATATTCTACGTGGATCTTCTTACGCATGGACCCCATTTCTGTGGTTGTTCATCAATCATCACCACCACCAGCACCACCCCACCTGACCGCCCACCTTATCCATTCCCCCATTCCACTTATGCATCAATTTTCGTTTCTATCTGTGTATTATTATTTTTCAGAATATTCTCCTTGGATACTGTTAAGCTAAATTTAGATCAAATTTTAAAACAATTTCAAACATATACCATTTACCATAAGCTCTCATTTTTTTTTTTTTTTTTTTTTTAGATCAAATTTTAAAACAATTTCAAACATATAACCAATTTACCATAAGCTCTCATTTTTTTTTTTTTTTTTTGAGAAAGGCTCGATCGAAATAAATATTTGAAGCAGCTTAATTAGCACTATTATAATAAATAAACATTTTTTTTTTTTTTTTTGAGAAGGCTCGATCAATAAATATTTGAGCAGCTTAATTAGCACTATTATAATAAATAAATTGTCGGTGGGCGTATAAAAACAAAATAAAAAGAGAGAGAAAGAGAGAAAGGACATTATAACCTTATATATCCCTCACCCTGAACCTTTTCTTCTTTTCTTCTCCCTCACAATAGATATGAACTAATCTGCTACTCTCTCTTATCTGGCAATTGAATATGACCCGTCACTACATACACATGCCTTCTATTTTTACTACTCTTTCTTCCATCAAACCCCACAACCGCAAACTGCAACTGCTGTACAACGACATGTCGTTTCAACCTATCAACACCCTTCACAATTACTCCACCTCCGCCTCACCACCACCAAAAACGCCACCGCCATCCTCAGAATATTCAATTCATCCGCCCTTTGACTCTTCTATGGCCTTAACTGTTCTAGTCCTCTTAACGGCTTTTTTCTTTATGGGCTTCTTCTCCGTCTACCTCCGACGGTTAGGCCGTCCAACGCCTCCACGCCGTAGCCAGCCAAACGCCTTCAGCGACAGTCAATTAAGCACAGTGGCAGTGGCAGTGGCAGTGGCAACTTCACGTAAAGGACTGGACGCAGAAATTATTAAGTCACTGCCGGTGTATGCTTATTACCAAGGGGATACGAAATACCAGACTGAGTGTCCGATTTGCTTAGGTGAGTTTGAGGAGAAAGAGATGCTTAAAATGATACCATACTGTAAGCATGTGTTTCACTTGGAGTGTATTGACACGTGGCTCAAAATGCACGTGAATTGTCCTGTTTGTAGAGGGACCCAGTTTTTTGACATAAGTAAGGGAAAGGCCAGCAGCGGCGGTTGCCGTGGTAGTTTGGACGGGGTTGATGACCACGTTGCGAACCAACAAGATGGAAGATCGACGATGGAGATTAGTGCAACATGCATACAAGTGGGGACCACTTGGTAGCATAATAGCATTAGGTGTTCGAGTTTTAGAAGGAGAGAATTTGTAAGAACATCAGGTAAATGATACGTGTGATTTGGCGCGTGTAAATATGTGAATATTTATTCTCTTGATTTTTATTTTTATTTTTTTTTTTTGTTTTTTTCAATTAATATGTACTTATTATTAGACAATTACTTTTGTGATAGTGATGGTTTAATGTTGTAGATGAATCCTTGATTAGAGCGGAGCCTTCTAGCGTCTAATTGTCACTATTAGCATAAGGATTAGTCTAATTGCAAAACCTATTCAGTAAGATAATCATAATTGTGGCAAAATGACATTAGAAAAGCAAAAACCTATCGTTTAATATTGGAACGCTTTGAGCCAAATTTTTTATGGGTTTTTTTACCAGTAAATTTTTTTTTTTCTTTCTTTCTTGGATAAAATGCTTATTATTCCTTTTTTAAATATTCTGAAATGTTTATAAAATTTTTAATTTTACATGTTTAAACGATTTCTTTTATTTTCTTATAATAACTTAAATGATCGTTGATTTTTTTTTTTCTAATCTGTATGATTATTCGTTAAATGAAATACATTTATTAATCTCTTAATGGGTTAAAGATGAAAAAAGAGTAAAATAATTATTATTAACTAAATTCTTAATATACATATTTTATTAAATCACACATAAAATGAGATCAAACGAGTAAAAATTAAAAGATTAAGAAAATGAAGAGTTTTTTTCCTTAAAATCCATTATTTTTTACCATGCGGGCAGATTAGATGCTTTGGCTCATTTGAACTGATTTATTTTATAAATTTAGAGAAATCACATTTGCAAGGGATACAATCTAATTTAAAAAAGAAAAAAGAAATGCCATGTAACGAACATAAAGTTCATTTCACACATCTAAGTAACAAAAAAATTTGTAAAAAGCTTGTCATTTATTAGTTCTTCATTTATCCTATAGAATAAGGAAAACAAACATTACCAATTCCCACGTAATATTTACACGAGACTGGTTGATAAAAATCAAGTGTCAAAACTTCACTCGAAAGGAAGAAAATAACACTAAGTAAATAGAAAATATCAAGTATTAAGATCTGTGATGTAGTTAAAACTTAACCATTATCTTATTAAAACAAGATTTAGAATTTAATTTCTTCTTGCTATTAATTGCAATTTAATTATCATTGAAATTAAATAGTAAACATATACCTTACCTTAATAATAGGGTATGAAGATATTTCGACTACAAGTTGCAACATCAGAGCCCCACAATCGTTCCATTATCCCCTAGGCTAATAGTGACTAGGTCCAACTAGTTAACCCTTGTCACCATCTAAAAACCTTAGAGCAATATCCCCCTATCATCTTGTGTTGCAATTTCACCAAAATCTATCAATAATAAGTCCTGTGAAAGGGAAATAACGAAGTAAACCTTTCCATCTCAGTTTCCATGTCACCCATTCGTTCAGAAATAAAGCATGAAAAAAGAAGTACAATTTCAAAAGATAAAATGATATCAGATCAACCAACAAGTTAAAGCAAGTTGTACTAAAATATCCTTTACAGGGGTGTGTAAAAGGGAGTTGCTATATAACCCCACTTGAACTGGGGATTTCTCAGGGGTTCAGGATATGAGTCATATGTCATAACCTTTGTACAAAGGGGGAAAAGGTTGCCTTCAAAAACTCTAGTATGATCCTCCACTCAATATCTTTATTCACATCAAAATGATTAATTAAAGAAAGCCAGTATTTTTTCAGTCAACCATACAATCAACACAACTAAAATCACGGCATCAGGAACCCAGGAAATAATAAATACCTGGGGCGATCGGGGTATGTCTTTGTTAATCCAATTATCATTTCTTTCTATTTTCTGATCCTTGAGTTTTTTCTTTTCGAACTTCAAAATTATAAAATGGAGTATGCGCGGATCACCTCAATTACGGGTGCCCTGCACATTGGACACTTTTCACCTTTCTGAACCAACTCATTTGCACATTTTGAACATGTGCACATGTGCCCACATCTGTAATGAGAAGTGTATAAAAGAAAAAGGGGAAAATGTAAGAATAAGCGATAATATATATTCTTCCCTGGCTTATGAATGCTACTAAACAATATTAAGGAGTATATCTCTAAGCTCCAGAATTACCTGTACAGCAACGAATCTATATTGCTACTGCAGCATATACTGCATATTCCTTTCCTTACATGATCCCATTTAGCTCTATCCTCCGGCAAACCATTGTCACACATCTCTGCCATAGAACAAGAGTATATTTTATGGTAAACCCAAAAAGCAGCAAATGAATCGTAACAACAGAGTTTGGCAGACATAAATTTTTAGGCCGATATTTTACTGTAATTTTCAAGAGAAAATATCTTATGTCAAAAAGTTTACTCTGACAACAAAAATGTATCCAGTGCAACTAGCATGTATGGAAAAGGACATGCACATAATAAAAAGATGAAACTAAAAGTCTGGTAGCAGAAAAACGCCCAAATAAGAGTTTCCCACAGGAAAAAGTAATAGCATGAAGACTATGACTTTTCCCCAAAGCCAACTCAAGAAACATCACGATTCATGTGGCCCCATCATCAAGGAAAATATCCACTGACTCAAAAAAAGGGATTGACCGTTGAGATGGAAATATAATGAATAAAGAACTATTTCCCGGACAATGTCTCAAACATGTTATACATAACTTGTTATAAAGTGAAGAAGAAGAGAGAGAGAGAGAGAGAGAGAGAGAGAGAGAGAGAGGCAGCAGGAGCAGGCATCAAATTATACACACCAGATGAACCAGCTGCGCGATTCAGGGCAGCAGAAACTTCTTGTCTTATTGACCTCTGCAGCTCAAGTTGCATGTCCATACAGGCTTCCAGCATCCTCTGCATATTGTTCATCCTTTGTTGTAATCTAGCCATGTCAATCCTCAAATCGTTAATGATATCCCACTCCTGCACAAAATCAAAAACATTTTTCGAGTGAAACTGAAACTCTATAACAGATTTCAACATAAAAACTTCAATCCTCAGAGAGAAAGGAAGAACCATTGTCACTGACAAAAAAAATTCCCAGCATCAACTAAGAGGAGATAAACAAACATAACAATAGAGTTTTTAAATGTGTATGGGCCTGAATGAATTTGCTTCAAATGACATATCTACAAATATAGCAAATTTTCAAGTATAACTTAATTAAGTCCATTTAGTATTTGACAGTGCTAATGAGCTAAATATAAACTTTCATAAGATAAGCACATTAACAGTTGTATTGCAAGTATTGTTGCAAAAAAGAGTCTAACTTTCAAGAATCATGGAGGAAAAATAAACGCACAATTCCAAAGCGCTGATGCACGTCATGTTGTGGCCAAGTAAAATTTCGCGTATCTTGGTCCCAGAGCTGCTGTACAGGGGGGAGTGATGAGGAAGGCAGAGTAATTGGAGGACTCTGGACTGGTTCTCCCAGACCCTCGTTCTGGTCCCTATTCTGCTGCTCCACATCTTGATCTACTGATGCAGAAGTAGGATCAGTTTCTTGCAGCTCCCAATCAAGGGGAACATGGCTTTGCCTTTCGACGTATGATTGTATCAATTGGTCAAGACTCTCCCGGAAACCACTACGAAGAAGAGTAGATACACTTCGCCTGCAACATAAACAAAGTTCAATCACGTTTTCAATGACTAGAATGAGCTAAATGAACAAGCCCTTCAGTAATGATATCCTTACCTACTTAGCAGTTCCCTGAGTTCCATACTGTACACATTATCATCTTCAGGGTAATAAAAAGGATCTATCCTTGCAACAGGAACAGCTTCCTGTTCAGAAGGCTCTTGTAACCAACTTTGCACAGCCTCTTGAAAACCACCATCTTCATGCCACACTTCAGAGGTTTCTTCTTCTCTTTCGTCATTTTCCAGCCACTCACTAGCAATGGTTTCATGTTGAGGTCCATCTATATTATCTTGAATTCCACCACTCTGTTCATTAGATCCAAAACCATCTCCAAAGAAGCCTCTAGCCTCACTTTCCAAAACCTGACTCTGCCACTGGTCTACTTGTGCAGCAGATTCAATTTGATTGACATCTTCAACATTGCCTTCCAAATCACCCAAATGATTGGATAGCATAGGGCCAGAAATTTCACTATCATCTGGGTCTGTTTGTTGAGAAAATACTTCATTGGTTGGTAACAGAGGGATAGGCTCTCCAGCAACACTTTCATTGTTACCTTCTCTCTGGTTTCCACTCACATCTTCTCCACTAGCATATCTACTATCAACAGATTCAAAATTCACAAGCTGCTGCCTTTCTCTTATCTCAGTCTCTGGAGCTTGTCCTGCAGCCTCTTCTGTACCAGACGTAGGCTCCTGTGGACTTCTATCTTCAACAATGTTACTTCTTATATCATTTCTACAACCCAACAAACCACGGTTATTACTTTCCTCTACATTTGACTCAATTTGTTCGTGAAATTCACATATGACCAGTTGCGAATTATTTTCTTGGGTTTGTTCGCTTCCGTTAGAATTAATGTCGGTATTAGATGCGGTATCAAAGGTGCTGCTGCTTGCTTGACCACAAATAGAATGGTCCAATCTGGAGGAAAACCCTTCCCTTCAAGGAGGAAACAGTTCTAATATCATTAAGAAATGTACTAAGCTTCAAATTAAATATGAAAAGAAAGAAAATCCAACAATTGATTTGGGGCACTTCATTTGACTAACAGTTTCAATCTACTTTTGGACCAACCAAACTATTATATCCTAATTTCAGCATGAGTCAAATTTCTATAACATTTTTTTTTTTTTTTTTTTTTTTTTTATGAGCAAATTTTCTATAACATTTTTTTTTTTTTTTTTTTTTTTTTTGCAACAAAACTATAAAACATGGTTCATCATTGCATGGCAAGTTTTGTTATATTCCAAACAACCACTCTACCGTTTTTTTTTTTTTTTTTTTTTTTTTGCAACAAAACTATAAAACATGGTTCATCATTCATGGGCAAGTTTTGTTATATTCCAAACAACCACTCTAGTACGCTATTCCTCAACATAATCAACAACCACATATTCTACCAGAATCTTTGTAGCTTAAATCACAAGTTATGCGTATCCATTAATAGAACATTACAAAACAAACAACACTTAAAACTACCAAAAACCAAAATAATGTAAAATGAGCAGTTCATGACATTCCAAACTACCTTCTCAAATAGATTATCAATCTCCATATCCATCAGAAACATACAAAACTAGAATTTAGCTGTTATATTTGATTAGATTACACAGCTAGATAAATAATCCCCAGTACAATGGCATTATAAGCATAAGCTATCCTGCTCTATACCAAGCAAAGCTTAGGCAACTCAAGTCTACAGAACATCATCTGCCTATCAACCATAATCAGCATATGGTACATATAAGATTGCAAGGACTCCATAACTAATTGTGAGATTTGCAGGCTCATAGCAGCCAAACCCAATCCCTTCTTATTGTTAATTAAAACAGTTTCTATGAACTGGCTGCAACGGCATCAGATGCTTGTTTTGTGTATGCATGTGCACGTGTTTGTGTGTGTGTGTGTGAGAGAGAGAGAGAGAGGGGGGGAGAGAGGATATAAAGAGAAACAGAGGGATGGAAATTTACATATTGAGGATGATATGATTAGCATAAAGATCCAAATACCTAAGGTCGGATACCGTGTGTCTTAGCCTCAGTAAGCCTAACTCACTTGCAGCTGTGGACATGGATCTATCGTCTTCAATTATTCTGTCATTTCGCAAGAACCTACCTCTAAGCAATGACTGCAAAAAAATATCAAAAGTAAATGATGAGTAATTGAAAGACAAGACAGTAGTTAATCATTTGGAAGCAGGCATCAACAGCAACACAATAGAAAGTCGACCATAAAAGTAAGACAGCTCCAAGAACTTGAAATGCATCAGTATTGAAATAGTAAGTCAACAAGGATACAAGTATACTCAAATCTACGGGAGAAAACAAACATTTAAGGAGAAAGTAAATCATTTTTTCAAATATCATTGAATTACTGCATCTAAGCAAAACCCTCAAACATTTATACCAAGAATCTCTAACCACAATTACACAGTCAAAAGATTGTATATTTTTTCTTTGAATAACAGAAAAGAAGCAAAAAGAAAATATCTGAACCACAAAAGAAATGAGATACAACAATCTTTTCGAGGTTGGAAAATGAAAATAATTTGTAGAAGCTAACCTGAATGCGGATCCGATGAGCAAATTGTGATACAGCCCGATGCTCCAACAGACCTTGAAGCTCTCGTTGCCTCTCTATCTCAGACTTCTTAAGCATATCAAGTAGAGCCTGTCTGCCACATAAACGACGAATTCCCCTCCGAGTATGCTCAGCTCGCCCTTCATTGAGGTTAACAACCGATCCATCAAGAACTTGTTCTATTTGACCTGCAATCTCAGCACCATGCTCTTCTCTGCGGTCAGCACAAGTACCTCTCTGCCGGCTGTTCATTTGTACCGACTCCCTTATAACTCTTACTCTCTCCTGCTCAGTTTCACCCAACCATTCTGCTCTAGAACTATTGTTCCTCCTCGAAATATTAGATCCACATTCCCTCGCAGCACAGTTCATCCATTCCCGAAAAATCTGTCTTACTCTTTCCCTTTCAATCTCCCCCATATCAGAAGAATCTTCTTGCCCATTCTCGGATCCAATTGGACCAGGAGACCATTGTCCAAAGTCATTCTCGCCCACACTGACATCCTCTGAAATGCAACTATGTTCACTACCATGGCTGTCAGATAACTCCACCCTTGAAAGGTCAGAACTCAGTCCATCACTTCTATGTTGGAGAAGTCTCCTGCCAATCCTCCCTCGAGCATGACCCACAACATGTTCATCCTCGAGCTCCCGCCACATTTGCAAGAGTGACGATGCCCGCGTGCTAGTGCTCCCATCATCACCTCGGGTACTCACGGCTTCTGATTGAGGTTCCCTGAGGAACGAGGAATCAAGTACAGAAACATTGTGTAGACCAGCAATAGCCATTAGTCAAAATTCCAAACTAACAATCAAACACTCTCAGCCCATCTGCTTAGGATGCATGAAAAACTTGTCTATTTACAATTAATACACAGATAACTGTTCACAAGTTAGATCACTGCATTAATTATTTTTCCACATGAAGTCAACAGCCCTCTAAATCCTCAACATCATCCTCATCAATCTTCAGTGAAGCCTAGGCAGTAGAACATGAACATCAAAGGGAACCAGCATAAACTGCTCAATTCATCACAATAAAACTCATCATAGAAGTACTTTGCTTCCTGCATCAAATAACAAAATGTCACTCTGTCTCTCCTCAAAAGGCTATTGTTCTAAAACTTCAAATAAAATCAAGCAAAAAAAAAAAAAAAAAAAAAAAATAAAATTCAAGCAAAAAAAAAAAAAAAAAAAAAAAAGCAATTATACAAATTTCAATACCGTTTATAAAAAAACCTCATAAAGTTAAATCCAAAACCTCAAATCTCGACAGCCCTTAACACAGCCACGGCTCATCAGTTTCCTAAATCCTCTGTTGGTACCAAGGAACAGTAACAAAAACAAAAGTACTGAATTGAAACGAAAAAAAAAAAAAAAAAAAAAAAAGCAATTATACCAATTTCAATACCTTTATAAAAAAACCTCATAAAGTTAAATCCAAAACCTCAAATCTCGACAGCCCTACACAGCCACAGGCTCATTCAGTTCCTAAATCCTCTGTTTGGTACCAAGGAACAGTAACAAAAACAAAAGTAACTGAATTGAAACGAGATGGTCCCGATCATGTGGAATGCAGATGCATCTGCCTCATCCACTCAGGTGAGTCCAAGAAAAATTATTTCAACCTATTCAATTCCCAAACCCTCTAGACTCTGTTTGGTCACTGAGAAAATTCAGGAAAAGTTGAGAAACAGAAACTTCATACCTCACATTTTCCATTATCTGCAAATCAATACAAAACGACCTCCACTTTAAGAAACTCGTATTAAACTGTTGAATTCCAGAAATCCAAAAAAACAAATTCCCCATTCTTTTCCTAACCTTCCTCAACAACCAAATAAACCACATACAAGAACAGAAAACCATTACTTAAAGTACCATTACAGATACTTTTCAACACAAATTTCCTCAGAAAAAACACCAAATCAAACAAATCACAAGCAATACAAATAAAAAATCACCTAACACGACAAGAAATGCTCGGTTTTAAAACACACCTAAAACAACTACCAGTCTTATTCATATAAAGCCATTTGAAACTTACCAGAGAAGCTCTGCTCTTGTTGATTTCGAAGAAGTAAAGGAAACGAAACCCTAGCAATAGAGAGAGAAGCGAAGAAAGAGAGAACCTGAAGAGAGAGAAAAAAACAGAGTCTTTGAGAGAGAGAGAGAGAGAGAGAGAGAGGGAAGAGATTTTATTTTAGAGCAATAAATTTGGAAGGTGGACATGTCATCCTTGCACAGTTTAAGCCCATAAAAACTTGACGTAACACTAACGTCCAAAATTTATACGACACATGGCAAAAGCCCCTTTCTTTGTGGAAATTTCCTAAAATCTTGAAGGCAACGGGAGAAGCGAGAGGGGGGAAGAGTCCAAAACTATAAACGACACCGGATTTATAGGTATCGCTTTTCACCTACCATTCCATACGTCGCCGTTCGCTCGAGTTTCGCGCAGCTTTGACTTTATCTGGGGAGGGGTAATAATGGAAGATAGTTTGTGTGAGGTTGACGGGTGGGAGATAACGGTACCTGACGGTGAATTTAACCGTTGAGAGTGGGAAATAACGGCAATTTAAAAGAAAGAGTTTTATTATTAATAAGGATGATTAGAGGGCTGCTTCCTAGAATGGGGAAGAACGCCTTACCGTTTTGTCAGTATTTAGGGCAATTTGTGATTTAACATGTTGGAATAGATTTTGATTTGTACGAGTGTTTTTGTCGCAAATTTAAGGTAATTAGTTTTGTATGACGTGCATAGTAATGATTGTTTATATTTTTTATATTTTTTATAATACTAAGGTAATTAAGTTTATTATTATAGGATTTTAAAAAAATCATTATTGTATGAGCAGGGCATGTGAATTTTTTAAGTATTTCCAATAAATTTTAATTTAGTTATTTTACTAGAATTTTTCCCTAAATTTATAAGTTTATAAATTCAAATGCATGTTACAGTCTACTTAAAAGAATAACTAACTATGACATGTGCATTATATATAGCCCATTCATAGACATTTCTTAGATTTTAGTTCAAATATAAGTGCAATAAACTATTTAAAGATATATATATACACGTGAAATATAAAAAATATATATAGGTGTAATAAGTATTTCTTCCGTTCCATTTTGCTTGCATGGTTTGACAAAATACACATATTAAGTATTTAGTCAATAAAAGTTATTTTGCTCTTTTTTGTACTCTTAATTCATTGGAGATATTAATAAAAGTCCCTTATCATGGAAAAAAATAATTGTTTACATGTATAAATTTAAAAACCTTATAAATATTTTGGGACATAAAAAAAAAAGAATAACAAGTAAACAAAATAGTACGGAAAAGAGTATAACTTTTCATATTGAAAATACTAAATGAGTATATCAAGAAAACCATTACATGTGCGTTGATAACATGTAATAGTTGAATAAACATTTATTGAGATTAATTGCAATTTATGACTCAAAAAAACCATTTTCTTTTTTCTTTTTGTTAATTAGTTGCGGTTTGTTGGTCTCTCACTTATATAAGAAATGAAAGATCTCGAATTTAAATAATCTCGATTAAAAGAGCTTTCACCAATTTGCTAAATTAATTTGATAAGTTAAGGGAGGGTTATCTATATAATTTAATCCGCAATGTTATTTAGCCCATTGAACTTCCCAATGAAAAAAAAAAAAATCATAACACGTGATAGTCCCTCTATTTCATAAAAATAGGTTGATTTCTTTTTTTTTTTTTTTACTTGTATCAAATTATAGTCTTATTTTCTTTCATATAAAAAAATAATATTTATATTTTCTTCTTCTATCTCTATTTAACATGTATTTTTATCACCAATCAGTTGTTGTTTGTTTAGTTTCCCCGCGTCTTGTAGAAGATGTGAGGAACGAGAGATTTCAAGTTTAAATCTTCTCTACCATAAAGATTATTTAAAGAGAAGTGTTACCCCCTACTGTATAGTTCACAATATTATTCCGAACCATTAAATTTTCTATGAAAAAAAATGCACCTTTATCGATTTAATATTCATCTTTACATGTGTGTGTGTCAAAGAGGATGAAGTGAAAATTGAGCAAAAAGATGAATTCTGATAGCTAGCTTCTAAACGCGTGAATATGTTACAATCTAGAGATAAATGCTATCAAGCACACTTTTTTTGGTAGAATATGTTCAATTTTTGGATGGAAAATGGTGATTTTTAGAACGAAAGGACACTGTAGTAAGTTTAAATAAATGTTATAATAATTTCTAAAAAATAGGGACACAAGTGTTAACCAATTTAGAAGCATTAAATTTTTGAATGCACAAAAATACAATAAAAGCAAATTTAATAACCAACATTAATCCGTAACTTGAATTTAATAACCAAAATACATACAAATTTATTTCTCAATTGTCATGGACCCAACACAACACTGGATGGATATTGTCCGCTTCAGGCCCTCTGGCCCTCACGGTTTTGTTCTTAGGCCAGGAACCACATCTTAACCCAAAACGCGTCCAACCATGTTAGCGACCACCCCTCTTTATGTATAGATCGTTTACCCTGTCCTTAGCCGATGTGGGATGAGGCGACTCTTCGCCCCTCCCACCATCAAGCCAGAGGGCACAGGGCCGGCTCTGATACCAAATTGTCATGGACCCAACACTGGATGGATATTGTCCGCTTTGGGCCTTCTGACTCTTACGGTTTTGTTCTTGGGCCAGGAACCACATCCTAACCCAAAACGTGTCCAGCATTTATTAATTATTACTTTTCCTTATTGGAGGGAAGAAGTAGGTACATTTTGTGGTAGCTAGTTCATGACGTGAAAGCTTTCTACTCTCTATGATATTAGAAAGCTTGATATGAGCTTGGGTTAACGCAATGAAAAACTTGTGAAATTAAAAAGCACGAGTCTATATAAATTTGTAATTCTTTTTGTTTGCGCTATTTATCCAACATTTGGAGGTTTGATTTAATTGATTGATCCAACTAAATAGTTGATTCATATCTTAAAATTAAGTTTTGGGTGTTTGATAAACTTTTTAATCTATAGGTGATGGCTGATATAAGTCTCAATCAGCTTTTGATTCTATCAGTTGTATTTTAAAGTTTTTTTTTTTATATTGATTTGTGTTTTTATATTATATTTTTTTATATTTACACGAGATATCCAGGCTCATGTCCATTTTAACAGTTCATAGACCTGACTAATTATCACTTACCCTCAGAGGTAAAGGGGTTGGACCAGGCGGGAGATGCATGAGAGACGTATTTCTTTTCCAAATGAAGATTTTTATGATCATTTTATTTGTACTTATTTAAAAATAAAAATTTTAATTAATATTTTTATTTATATAATACATTAAAATAAAAAAATAATATGTTTATACCTTATATATATATAAGAGACGTATAAGAATTTATTATAATTTTATAATAAAGTGTTATTACAAATAATACTTACATATGAAATTAGAATTAATTCATAAGTTTGATTAAAAATAAATCATTCATACGAAAATTAAAGCATTAATGATTAAGAAATTTGTAATATACACGTTAAAGAAAAAGTTGCTTAAAAAATAATATTTGGATATAAAGTTGAAGAGAAAGGTGTCCCAAAAAAATTAGGGTATATGTCCACACCATTTCTCTACATCTGAGTTATTAATAACAAAAAAAGCTGCATCATAACAAGCACATTTATCTTTTGGGACCATAACTTTTGAACCTTTATACTTACTTTGAGTCTTCTTAATCCTACAGCAACCCTCCAACAATTTTGGTTGGTTTAAAGATTGCAACTCATAACTACCTCTGCTTCAATTTCTAACTGTAAACTCTTTTTTTTTTTTTTTTTTACTGTATGTGTTTGTCAAGTTTACTTCAACCAAAAAGTAAGGAACACCTAAACTTTGAAATTACAAGCATGAGAAAAGAAAATAGAAACCACATTTTTCCCCAAATGTCATTTCTTTATCCAACATCAGAAAGATGCATTTCTAAGGATACTAATTACCAATTTTCAAATTAGCAACTAAAAGCTTTAAGCAATCCCTAACCTCCTAAATTTGTACTTATAAATATTGATTGTACACAAATTAGGAGCTTTTGAATCCCCACATTAATATGAATTTTACTACTATCAACTACTAATAAAAAATTTTTAAAAAGAAATTTTTATTTAATTATTAATGATTAATGTGTTTAATTAGCCGAAATCAATTATCAATTATATGAAACAATAATTGAACCAAACATATTCTGAATTTATATTTAATTAATCACGTAGAGGATTAGAAATATATTTTTTATTTAATTATTTTAATCAGCAGCTGATAGAAGCATCGATATAAATTTTGGAGTTTTGTTTTTATTAGCTGTTAGCTAATTTGCGTTATATATTGTATTTAAATTATATTAATTTTATAAAAAAAATTAATATCAAAATTATTTTCTTCAAATTAAGATTTTATATAATTATTTTATTTTATTTAAAATAATAAATAACCATTAAATATCATTATAAAAATTTTAATTAATATTTTGTTATTTATATAATATATTAAAATAAAAAATAAAATTTTTACCTTTCTTATACAAGCATGTATATACTCTTAAAAGACGATTAATTCAGCTAATTCATATAGCTGATAGTTGATTCATCCCCAACACCCAAGTTGTAAGTGTTGTTAATCTCATCAGCTATAATTTGGAGTTTTTTCGTATCAAGTGCTAAGTGATCTTTTTATATTTTAATACTAACTGCTATCAGAATTTTACCAAACACCAATATTAATCACCATTGTTAACCATCAACCACAATTTATCGGCAAATTGCTATTAGTTATCAGCCGGTATGAATTGCTATACCAAATGACCACTTAATTGTTATCTTACATATTAACAATAATCCTATTACAATTTTATCAAACAACAAATAAATCAACAAGCCTTATCAATTTTCAACTAATATAAACAACAAAATCAAATAGGTTCTTCATTTTAGTATTTGCTACATATATAATTTATTTTTCTCATTATATATTTATATATTTTTTAAAAGGATTATATATTTATATTTGAGTAACTCTAATTAGATACCCTTTATACTTTGAAGTGAAATTTTTGTGTGTATTTTTCTCAACCACAAGAATTTTCACTAATTTGGTGAGTCAAGAGAAGACTTCTCTTT